TGTATTCACTGGAACAAATTTCTGTATCACTGTATAAATCAATACACAAAGTAGTGTACGTACGAAAAATTGCAGCTCAATTCGTGATAGAAAATATATTTCAAACAAATGGTATAGTTGTGTATGGGAAAAAGCATTTCATAATTTTGTAATGAAAAACCGAAGCTTTATTTGAGTTTCATGTGTAACAAATCTCTTCGCTTTTAAAAAAACTATATCTCTTAAGCTCTGAGCTCTCTTAAAATTTTTACGTCCATACATTCTTCTTTTAATTGTAAGCATAAACATGCATTATTGTTTAGATGTACCCATGTTATATAACTCGTTTCACTTTGTTTTTATTTGTGTGTTTGTTTCAATTTTTTTTGATATACAAGTTCACTCATTATCTCAGAATTGTCAGGAAACGGGCAGAGTATGAATAGTGTCAAGTTCGCTACTAAATATTTTCGTGCATAATCTACTATATAAAAATAAGTCGGGTTTTCCTTCCTGACGCTATAACTCCAGAACGCACGAACCGATTTCCACGGTTTTGCATTCGTTGGAAAGGTCTCGGGCTCCGTGTGGTTTATAGCAAAAAAATTCAGGAAAAAAATCAACAGAAAAGCGGGAAAATCTTTTTTCACATACAGCGCTACAAACCAATATTTTAAGTAGATGGCGCCAGTGCGTGATACATTGTTTGACAGCTACTCATTGTTCTCTGCTCAGTTAATTTCATGTGACAAACCTTTATTGTGTTCACTGTGAAATTGTGAAAAAAAAGTAAAAATAATAAGTTATTCGTTTTCTAACATTTCAATTGGAAACCATCAAATCAATCACGTGTATTGTGCAAATTTGAAAATCTTTTTTCACATACAGCGCCATCTCTGATACATAGCATGTACTACAAACCAATATTTTAAGGAGATGGCGCCGGTGCGTGATACATTATTTGACAGCTACTCATTGTTCTCTGCTCAGTTAATTTCATGTGGCAAACCGGTATTGTGTTAACTGTGAAATTGTGAAAAAAAAAGTAAAAAAAATAAGTTATTCGTTTCCTAACATCTCAATTGGAAACCATCAAATCAATCACGTGTATTGTGCAAACTTTTATTCAATTTCAACAGCAGGCATTTGTCTTTAAGGTGGTAAGTTGAACTGTGTAAATTATGTGGATCGTGCATTTGAGGTTAAATTCACCACTCTGTCCATAGTCCAAAATGCCTAGAGGACGACGTGCGAACATCGGCCGCCGCACAAGACATGCAAGCCAGCAACAAGTGTATTCACAGAACATAAGCGAAGAAAGACAAAATATAATAAGAGATCATTGGCATCATACAATCGCTTGGCATTCCAATATGATCCCACTGCGAACTACAGTGATGATGAAAATTTAGATATTGGACCAATGACGACTATATGCCGATATTGCAATGCGTTAAAGTTCAAAAGAGAAACGGCTGGATTGTGCTTCGCAAGTGGAAAAATCAAAGTGGATCCATTACTTACACCACACAGCCACTGAAACCATTGTTCGATGGAAGTGATCCTAGCTGACCCGCGCAACTTCGTCTGCGTCTCTCAATAGTAATAAATTTTCTCCGTTTTTGAAACATTCTTCATTGGTGCTCGGGTCAGCTAGTTTAATTTATTTATTTAAAAATAATTATGCACGAAAATATTTAGTAGCGAACTTGACACTATTCATACTCTGCCCGTTTCCTGACAATTCTGAGATAATGAGTGAACTTGTATATCAAAAAAAATTGAAACAAACACACAAATAAAAACAAAGTGAAACGAGTTATATAACATGGGTACATCTAAACAACCCGCGCAACTTCGTCTGCGTCTCTCAATAGTAATAAATTTTCTCCGTTTTTGAAACATTCTTCATTGGTGCTCCGCTCCTATTGGTCTTAGCATGATGATATATAGCCTATAGCCTTCCTCCATAAATGGGCTATCTAACACTGAAAGAATTTTTTAAATCGGACCAGATGTTCCTGAGATTAGCGCGTTCAAACAAACAAACAAACTCACCAGAATTGTTAATTGTCATTGCGAACGCAAGGCGAACTGGAAATTGCAATCGTTTGAAGTCAAACGGAAGATCAGTCGGAATTATTGGTATTCGAGGAATACATACATTTTCACCTGCGTACTTTCCGTTAATAATGGTTGCCTCAATCAAATTCGGCATAAGTCTTTTTACCGAAAGTCGAGTACCGTTGCAAAGTCGCGGTGGATTCAAATTACGCAATATCATAATAACTGTACCAACTTTGAGTTGCAAGTTATGTGGTGGAAATCCTGGTAACTCCAGAGAGTTCAAAAACTCCGTTGGATAATTTACTACATCATCGGGATTTGTCATGGAATCAACGGATTAGTATGTCACCAAATCGCCAGCAATTTTTGATTGAATGGTGAAATTCAGTGCGTGTAGAATTGCTCGTTGACTTAACCAAGCATAATTCTGATAATTCTCACTAATGTTTGGGAAAAAAATTTCAATAAGAGCTAATAAGTGTACAAATCGGCAAAAGTCGTTGGTAAGAGTAATTAATCCAGATGTCGCATCAACTGGGACTTTTCCATTTCCAACAGCTAACAATTGTTTGGAAAATTGTGCAGCACTTTGATCATTTTGAAGTTGAACTCTCATATTAGTGGTTAGCGATAATGTTTTTACGTTATTCCATAAAGGTGATGCCTTCAGGCAAGCATTCAATTAATTGCAGGCGTTCCACGGGGAATTACTGGCAACTTCTGCCTGAAATCGCCTACCAACAATATCATGAAGCCGCCAAAGAGGTTGTTATTTCGCCGCAGATCCTTTAGTGTGAAGTTAAGTGCTTCAAGTGATTTCTTATGTGCCATTGTGCACTCATCCCAAACAATGAGCTTGCATTGCATCAACAATTTTCCCGTTGCATTGGATCGGGAAATATTGCACGTTGGAGTATCAATTGTGTTTAAATTGAGTGGCAACTTAAGCGCAGATTGTGCAGTACGACCGCCATCTAGAAGAGTCGCCGCAATTCCAGATGATGCTAACGCCAAAGCTATGTTACATCTTGATCGAATAGTGGCCAAAATCAATAAAATGACAAATGTTTTCCCTGTTCCTCCAGGTGCGTCCAGGAAGAATATACCACCAGTATTATTGTCCACCGCTTGCATTAATGTTTCGTATACTTGTTTTTGTTGTTCATTCAGCAACGGCACATTATTTCGAACGAATTCCTGCAATGTATCAACATTGTATTGCAGCTCTCGATTTAATTCTTGGTTGAATGCATCGTGCATCGATCGATTTGGCGCAATCATTCCTACTTCAATCAGTAGCTTGTTTGCAATAGTCAAGCATTGATCCTCAATCAGAATCAATCCTTCATTGTAGATTTCATCGGTTATTTGGATGTCAGGATTATTCGTTTGAATGCGCAAGCGATGCAAGATATCTTCACATATGTCGTCTTTGTATTTGTTCCATAACTGAATTGGTTGTGAAGGAAAACATGTGGTGATGATAATTGCGAACAGAGTTCGTATTTGGTACGCATTTGATGAAACAACTGAATCCGCAAGTGTTAAATCCCAATGAGAATCGTTCTCCAGCAAACCCAATAGTTGACATGCTTCTCGATATGTTTGGCATTGGTGGCCATTCACAGTTTTCAAATGCGCAAATGATTTTGGTCCACGTACATTTACCAACAGTAGTCGCAAATAAAAACATTCATCATTTCTAGGATGAACAGTATACATGCGACCTAGTGCATCAGTGGAAAACACCTGTGGCCAATCTGGAACTGGGGTTCCTTGTTTGCGACGTTGGAATTTCTTTGTTGATTGATTCCAAGTGTAATACTTGGGCATTTCAACGTACATCAGCGTCGCTGCGAATGGATCTGCTTCACACATTGCAAAGAAGCTAGTCAATGTCGTCGATGGTGGTCTCTCAGCTCGTTGTGCCGCATTAGCCTCAGTGAAGTAAACTCTTTTACCATTTTCCAAATGCACTGCTAAATGTACAACTGTGGGATATCTTTCATGAATTTGAAATGACTATAATCGCCACAGTGCTTCATTACTACTGACGTATCTGCCCATTTGGAAGTTGCTGATTTCGTCATTCGCATTTTCCGACGCAATACCAATTACAGCCATGTCGCTGCCTTTTGTGACGTACTTGCACAAATATTTGATTGATTTGACCGAATTACAACTCTCAACGTTTGCATGTGTTTCGAAAATTCGTGATAGCAGCGGGAAATATGGTACAATGAATTCATTTCCGATCTCAATCTCTTGATTTTGAACTTTAACTTTGATAGTTCGACCATTATCTTCTTTTGAACGCCGACGATAAACTGGATATCCATCGTTCTCTGTGAGTGTTTCAGCAACTAACGGTCGCAGATATCGTTTTGTGCACTTTCCATCAGCCATGCAAGGCGATAATGGATTTAATGCACCGCACGGTCCATGCACCATCTGTGTCGTCACAATGTCGTGTAGATGGGGATCAGTGACTGGATCAGGAATTTCAGCTGATATGATGCCATCCACTTCGGATTGCATGTGAACGTAATAAATAAATCCGGAGTTCCATAACTTCGCACGTGCGTCATAGTGTCTTGAGAGTATTCGTGCATGTGGCGTGGGCTTCCGATATAAGATGATGGGAGAATCGTCAGACGTCCAATATTCTGAACATCACCATCTGAATGAATAGCACGCAAGTGTATATAGTCCTCAGATCGTAGCTTTGCCTGATTGAATCGGATGAACGCTAAACGTTCGGTCTCGACTTTGACATACATGTCGACAGCGAATTGCTGGAATAGCCGACGGCACTTCAGAATGACATTATCCTCATGTGTACGAATCATCATACGATACGCATAGTAATTCATTGCGCTTAGATTTTTGTTCGTTGATACGCCTGAAAATGCAAAATTAAATGAATTGTTAATGGAAACCAATAATAGCAATAATTAGTGTGTGAATATTGTACCTGTAATTGGATCGACCATCTTCAACGTGATGTCGTATCCGTCTTGCCCTTGCCTATAAATGATTGGATATTGTAATGCATCGTACAAACGATGTGTCTTGTTTACACGATGCATGATATTGCTTCTTCGCTGAACGACAATGTCTCGCGATTTAGTTGTATCGCCAACAATAATTGCAGCAACATCATTAACGGTGGGTGCATTGAATCTTCGCACATGTTCACCTGTTGGGGTACAATCCGCTCTTATGACAAATTTGTGCGTATCCGATGGCATTCGTTCCAATGCTGTTTTGAACATATTAACCACAGCATTATTAGCGTGAAAAAATGCTTGCAACTGTTCAATAATTCGTCTCTTTAACTGTTGTGTTCCCTATATTGCACCGCACATTCAGCTGATCCACCATCGACGAAATGAAATATATTTGCAGAAATTGATGCGGTTCATCTGGTGTTGGTACCATTGAACCATGCAAATGATATATTTGTCCTTGTATCTGTAATTGCAAACAATCATTTGTTGAAGAATACGGTGTAACTTCTGATCGTGTGATGGTGTAGTGGGTGGTGTATATGTAGTTGTTATGTGTTGCAATTCATTGTGTTGGTGTGAGTGATTGGTTATGTGTGTTGTATCTTTTACCTTGCAAGTCGGCATGAAGCCGCCTTCTCGAATGATATTAGCTCCAAGTCATGCGAAAGCAGTTATTGTATTCAAGGATGTGTTGAAGAAAATGGCTGGAATCGGGATCACTTCCATCGAACAATGGTTTCAGTGGCTGTGTGGTGTAAGTAATGGATCCACTTTGATTTTTCCACTTGCGAAGCACAATCCAGCCGTTTCTCTTTTGAACTTTAACGCATTGCAATATCGGCATATAGTCGTCATTGGTCCAATATCTAAATTTTCATCATCACTGTAGTTCGCAGTGGGATCATATTGGAATGCCAAGCGATTGTATGATGCCAATGATCTCTTATTATATTTTGTCTTTCTTCGCTTATGTTCTGTGAATACACTTGTTGCTGGCTTGCATGTCTTGTGCGGCGGCCGATGTTCGCACGTCGTCCTCTAGGCATTTTGGACTATGGACAGAGTGGTGAATTTAACCTCAAATGCACGATCCACATAATTTACACAGTTCAACTTACCACCTTAAAGACAAATGCCTGCTGTTGAAATTGAATAAAAGTTTGCACAATACACGTGATTGATTTGATGGTTTCCAATTGAGATGTTAGGAAACGAATAACTTATTTTTTTTACTTTTTTTTTCACAATTTCACAGTTAACACAATACCGGTTTGCCACATGAAATTAACTGAGCAGAGAACAATGAGTAGCTGTCAAATAATGTATCACGCACCGGCGCCATCTCCTTAAAATATTGGTTTGTAGTACATGCTATGTATCAGAGATGGCGCTGTATGTGAAAAAAGATTTTCAAATTTGCACAATACACGTGATTGATTTGATGGTTTCCAATTGAAATGTTAGAAAACGAATAACTTATTATTTTTACTTTTTTTTCACAATTTCACAGTGAACACAATAAAGGTTTGTCACATGAAATTAACTGAGCAGAGAACAATGAGTAGCTGTCAAACAATGTATCACGCACTGGCGCCATCTACTTAAAATATTGGTTTGTAGCGCTGTATGTGAAAAAAGATTTTCCCGCTTTTCTGTTGATTTTTTTCCTGAATTTTTTTGCTATAAACCACACGGAGCCCGAGACCTTTCCAACGAATGCAAAACCGTGGAAATCGGTTCGTGCGTTCTGGAGTTATAGCGTCAGGAAGGAAAACCCGACTTATTTTTATATAGTAGAAGATATGCTCATCTTATTAACCATAATGAAGTGTGCTATTCTTTTAGATTTTCTTACGACTTGGGGGAAAATCATTCCAAAATGTTTGTAAAACTTCTAAAAACAAAGTCCCAAAATAAATGTTTCAATTTTACTGTCACAAACAGACTTTACACATACAATTTTAGTAACTGCAGCCAATTTGATTGTCCATTGCACAAATACATTTAAACTGTCTCGAACAGATTTGTTACCGACTTAGTGCTCATTTCAAACTAAAAATAATATAAAACTTTTCTATACAAAACGTTAAGTACGTTTTGTTTTAATTTTTATTTAATAAGAAAAGTTTTAATATATTGTGGAGTGCACGAGAGATGTGCAATATTTTTAGAGTTTATAGAAATAAGAAACTGTGAATTGTTCTGATAATGTCGTTATAACATATACTCGTATACGAAAATATCTGATTATAGTTGTAGTATCTATTATAGTGTGTATGTTCCGTAATCCAAAAACGAAGTACCTCGGTGAACGTTCCCATGGGTATACCGTAAGTTTTGTATCTTTCGTACATTTCATGTATTTCTCTGTCCAACAGAAGACTTAGGCTTTCTGTGGGTCAGAGAACTACATGAGATATTTTAGAAAAGAGGCAGAGGTAAATTTCTACAACAGCACTAGGAAGCCCTTCTCTTCAGCTTAGGTGAGTTTGGTACTCATGAAGTCTGACATCTTTCTGTGGGTAAGGAGAGTACCTCAATTCTATACCACATCCTTCCATATAATATGGTATTTTAAAATGAAATATTTTTTTTATTGTCTATGGGAACGAAAAGTTAAAAAGCTATAAATTTACAACTTAACCAACATAGCTTCATCACTCTCCTTAAATATTGGTTTACCTACTCCAAAAAGCAATTCAATTATATTAAAGAAAACAGCAATTTATTGAGAAAATGAACCGTTATCGTTGAAAACTTCGTTAATTAACGATTGAAAGGAGACGAAGTCAAACTCCGTTCAAGTATCTAAGGTTTAAAAGCATAGAACAAATTCGCTTTAACGGGAATCTTTTATAGACTGGATTTACTTGTTGCTTTGATGAAATACTTTTTATTTTATTGAGAAAATGAGTTTATTAAGTGTAATAATTAAATATCAACGGGATTAATTTTCCGATAAATATTGAAAAAAGAGTGTATTGAAAAAACACGGGGCTGTTTATATTTAATGGCCTTTATAAGTATAATAATTTGATGTAATTTTGATAGCGGTGTAATTTAGACCTCGTATTTAATATACTTAAAATTTAATTTTTCAAAACTATGGGGTCTACCAATAAGAACGTTCTGGTTTAAAAATTAAATAAATCACACATTTTTTTATGAAAAATGCATCCGATTGATTTATTTGATAGATAATTTTATGCAATTTCTGTTTTAAATAATATATCAGCATATTTTCGATGACGCGGTGCACCATTTCAGCCGGTATATCGGCCGGTATGTCGGCCGGTATGTCGGCTATGGCTCGTCGAATGTTGGTTTTTAGGTCATGAATTGTAGCTGGATTATTGCTGTACACTTTAGATTTAACGTAACCCCCAAAGAAAATAGTCTAAAGGTGTTAAATCACACGATCTTGGCCAACTGATCAGTCCATTTCTCAAAATTAACGACTCACCAAACTTTAAATTATTATTTAAACAACAATAATTCCATGTTCACTCGAGTAATGTGAGGTGGTGCACCGTCTTGTTGAAAATAAAGGTCGTCTGCATCAAAATCATCAAATTCCGGAAAGAAATATTCGGTTAACATCGAGTTATAGCGCTCGCCATTCACAGTAACAGGGTTTCCTTCGTCACTTTCAAAGAAGTACGGACCAATGATTCCACAGTACCATAAACCGCAACAAACTGTTATTTTTTGCGGATGCAATGGTGATTCATAAACCACACATGGATTTGACTCACTCCAATAGCGACAATTTTGTTTATTAACAAATCCATTGAGCCAGAAATGGGCCTCATCTGAGAAGATGATTTTACGATGAAAATCGTCATCGGCTTCCATAATTTCCAGTGCATAATCGGCAAATTCACGACGGATACAATGGTCGGATGGTTCCAATTCTTGTGCCATAACAATTTTGTATGGGTGTAGGCCCAAATCCAACCGCAAAGTACGCCGGGTGATCATTGGAGAGAGCCCCAATTCTTGTGAACGGCGTTGAACTGATCGATTTGAATTCGCATCAACACTGGCCTGAACGGCTGCGATATTCTCTTCACTACGGGCATTTCTTTGTCTCACAGGCACAGCAGTATCGTTTAGAGTGAATTCACTTTCAAATTTTATTATTATGCGTTTTGTGCGCTCTTACTGTAGCGGTAGGAGAACGCGGATTTGCGTAATAATTTTAGTCAATTTCCAAGCGTTGGTTTAAAGTGAAACGTGACATGATAAAATGGCAAACCTTACTGAACACAAATGTCAAGAGACGTCAAAGATCCATCATCAAACATGGCCGCTATGAGCTGTCAAAACCAGGTCATCCCTATTGGTAGACCCAGTAGATATCTATATGTATATATATATATATATATATATATTCAAATGTGACGTTGCTTTATTCCATCACAGCCGAAAGACGTCCACTGTTGGACATAGGCCTCCATAAGCCTCTTCACAACAACCGGTCCTATGCTGCCCGCATCCAACGGCTTTCCGCGACCTTGGCCAGGTTGTCGAACCAACTTTTTCGGTACGTGGTCGCCGCTCCAGAACTTTAAGGCCCCTTTGGCCGTCTTTTTCTGTTGGCAATGTTGGTTTATGTACTTTTCAAAAACTCAAAAAGTTAGGAACTCGTTCAGCTCAAATTTTTATAGAGTTGTACATAAATCCGTACACTTCTAAATAAAGGCAACAGTAAATATAATTAGAGATGTATTCCATGGTCTTACCCACAGTCGCACATAGATCCGTACTACCCGGTAGCTCGAGCGAGAAGGCTCGTATTTATAGGACGCATTGCTTGTGCACGTGTTTATAAGTTGTTAGGTTAAGTATTGTATTTTCTTGGTTTTTAAATAATATGATTCTTCTGGTCATTTTTAATACTAACTATTAAAACTTCAATTATAATCAATTAGAAACTAATTTAAATCAATCAAATTCTTAAACAATTTGATTGAAAAAAAATGTGTTCGTTTTTAATTTTCTTTCATATAAACCTTGTCTGGACAATAGCGAAAAAAAAAAGAATTATCTAATTTTGTGTCCAGTCCCATTTTGTGTATGTATCCAGTCGTTCAGAAGCTATGCGCGTACATACATTTCGGTAAATCATTTTTATTTACACAGATTAATTTACCCCAAACTTTAATTTAATCGATCCTACTCACCTATCAGCTTAGCTCAGCTACGCCAAGTTTTCATTAAATCCTCTTTTGTTAACGTCTAGTCGTCTAAAAACAAGTTTAGTTCTAATGGCTAACAAAAATACTCAATTACAAGACAGATGGGATAGATTTAGACTTTAATTACAGCCTTTCATTTAAGTTTGTTAATTTATGGATTATTCATTTGTAGTCATAACCGTTCAAGAGCGTATTGAATAGTAATTGATGTTTAACTTTAAATAAGTAATGTTATACCAAGCCTTGATTGTAAAGCTCAAGTAATTAACACAAAGCGACTACAGCAAATTGAATTTAAATATATTTCATTGCCATATTTGAGATATTTTTTTTAATTGTTGCTATCCTTATTACTATGTAGTACATTATTTTTACGTGTAGAAACCACCCTCGGGCCGGGATTTGTCGCGGGGTGGTGTGTTG